TGCAGAATTAGCATCTACACTTAGGGTGCATCTAGACTGGCATCTACACTGGCTGCGAGTATTTGCGCAAGAACACTGACTTTGTACTGTACAAAATCAGTGGTTCTTGCGCTAATACTCCGACACTCCCACTCAGGGATAAGCCCTCTTGTGCAAGTATTCTTGCGCCAGAAGGCCAGTGTAGACAGCCAAGTTAATTTCTTGCGCAAGAAAGCCCGATGGCTAAGTGGCCATTGGAGCTTTCTTACGCAAGAGAGCATCTTCACTGGCACTGATGCTTTTGCGCAAAAGCAAATCTTTTGCGCAAAGGCACATGCCAGTATAGATGCTCTCTTGCGCAAATACTTTTAACGGAAAAACTTTTCCATTAAAAGTATTTGCGCAAAATCATGCCAGTCTAGACGCAGCCATACAGCAGGACTCCTTCACTCAGACGCAACCAACCGGCGACAATATGAGAAATAACTTATCACATAAACTGACCTCATTACCTACCCTGTTTCTTTATGCCACTTACAAATGATGGAGCTACCTGGCCACCCCAGTTTCATGAAGATAAATTTCATTGTCCTTCTACTTGTCATCGTGGCATATTCCTTCTGCATTCATAACTCGATGCTATTTCTATCGAGAGCCAGCAGTGCAAGACATAAAGCAGCACTCTGTGCTGCTATATAGAACATTCTGATCTTCAGAAGTTGATGAGGCCCAGAAATGTATTGAAATTTAATAAGGTGTTGGGATTTTGTCTGCCTTCTTGTTTGTGAAGTGCAAGGACTCCTGTGATCAGATATTGACCATGGTCTGGCAAAATGGAAAAGCACGCTGAAATCAATATCTAAATTGCCACAGGGGGCTCCTCAGGGAACAGAGCGTTATTGAAGTCAGAAACAACGTGGTCCAAAAATCATAAACTTCTTGCAGCTCAATAGATTGCAAGTCTCCTTCAGCTGTGCAGAGGTTATGCCATTTGCTTGCCTTACTGCGTCTTCTGCAGTTTTTCTATGGCTTCATGCTGTGCTTTTCCTATCAAACAAGAACTAACCCGTGTAATTGGGAGAACCTACAGAAAGCAAGGAAGACCTAGATTCTCCCTCCTCCAGCCTTACAGCAAAAGTGGATGCAGGGAAAGATTTGTCACCTTGATATTGTTTGGTCTTTTGCTCCTTGGGCTGTGAGTGTTGCTGAGATAGCAGCAGGGTCACATGTTAATGAGATCTAAATGGAATACTGTCCACTCCATCTCAGGGACACTGGTCATCTAGACAGTATTCACTCATCTGTGGGGACATGATTCAAAGGTGACATTTCAGATTTTGGTGGGGAAGAGGCAACTTTAACCATGATTCCAGGGGCTACTTAGGCACTTGAAAACTAGTTTTCTGGAAGATAATTTAGCTGAGAGGAGCCCTGTGTCTAATTCCGATATAAAAAACAAATAAATATTAGACCCACTCAGTCAGCTCTAATAATAACATGGACAGACACATTGTGGCTGTCACTTAAGTCACTTAAGGGACAATATAAGGTTTAGAGAATGTTAATAGATAGTCTTACTTGGTTACTAACTCTGTGGAGAGGCCCCATCAGAACTTCTGGGTTATACCTCAGCTCTGGGTGGGGAGTGGGGTCTAGTGGATTACAGTGGGGGCAGATACACCTGGCTTTTATATGAGAACATCAGAATAGCCATCCTGGGTCAGATCAAATGTTCATCTAGCCCAGTATCCTATCTTCTGACAGTAGTGAATGGGTGGGAATGAAAATAACAGGCAATCATTGAGCGATTCATCCCATCATCTGTTCTCAGCTTCTAGCCAACAGAGGTGAGGGAAATGCAGAACATGGTTTTGGATCTCCTTCACCCCACCTCCCTCGCTAATAGCCTTTATGGGACCTATTCTCTATGAACTATTCTCTAGTTCTTTTTTGAATCTGGTTATAGTCATGGACTTCATGACATCCTTTTGCAAAGAGTTGCACAGGTTAACTGTGAAGAAATGCTTTAATTTGTTTTAAATCTGCCTGTTAGTGTAACTGAATGACTCCTAGGTCCTGTGTTATTTGAAGGAGTAAATAATTCAGTTTTTCCATGCCATACCTGATTTTACAGACATCTGTCATATTTCTTCCACTTTTCCAAACTGAAAAGCCTCCGTCTTTTTAATCTCTCCTCATAGGGGATGTGTTGTCCTTCTCTGGATTTTTCCCAAATTCAGTATACTGTAACTTTTATGAGATGGGGTCATCAATTGTACACTCAATATGCAGTATGTGGGCATGCCATGGATTTATGTAGAGGCAATATTATCTTTTCTTTTCATCTATCCTTTTACTAGTGAGTACCAATATTTTGTTAGGGTTGGTTGGTTTGTTTGTTTGTTTTGATAGCCACTAGTGATGGAGCAGATATTTTCAGACAATTATTCACAATGACTCCAAGATCTCTTTACTGATGGGTTCAATTAATTTAGACCCCATCATTTTGTACATATATTTTAAATTATATTTTGCCACGTGCGTTATTTTGCATTTTTCATCACACTGAATTTCATCTGCCAGTTTGTTAACCAGTCAACCAGTTTTGTGAAATTCCCTTGTAACTCTTTGCAGTCTGCTTTGGACTTAACTATCCTGAATACATTTTGTAGCCTTTGCCAGCATTCACCATTTACCCCTTTTGCAGATCATTTATGAATGTGTTGAATAGCACTAGTCCCAGGACAGACCCCAGGGGACACCACTATTTGTTTTCTCTCCATACTTATTCCGACTCTTTGTTTCCTGTCTTCTAACCGGTGTGCCTGACATTGCTTTTGGTACTTTACTTTAATGACAAGCCTCTTGTTATCTTTAGCACCCAGCCTCGGTTTATAAACCAGCTCCCTGTTGCAAAGGCTGTGCTGCTCCCAGCTTCTGAATTCATCACAGTCACACTCAGGCTGTGTTACAGTTAAAGAGCTCTGTCTGGGGCTAGCATGAGTAAACCCTTGGTTCAAAAGTGGGGAGAGGGGAGCTAGACCCCCCCTGCTCTTCCTAAATGGCACCCCTGAATTGACTAGGAGGGGTGGGTGAGATTTTGTGGCCTGCACTGTGCAGGGGGTCAGACTAGATGATCATAATGGTCCCTTCTGACCTTAAAGTCTATGAGTCTATGAGACTCTGGCGGGGGAGGAGGGGTTCCACTGGTGTACGTAGGAGATGAACACCACAACTCACAGGGCTTCCTGATCCTCCTGGAGTGGGCTGCAGTTCTCTAATATGTTTTATATCCCCAACAAAGCTGTCATTAGAACAAGAAAAGCTTCCCAATTCAGCAATCAACTCCCAAAAGGGGAGCTTTGTTTACTTTCTCTGAAGGAAGGTTAAGGAAATGAACCATGATAATAAAACCCAAGCAATTTTAATTAATAGCAGTTAGGGAACATATCAATTCGAGGGGGGGGGGGGGGGGAATTTCACATTAGAAGATGTACAGCAATGGCTCTCTGCCATGTATATTGGCCAAATTGGACAGTCTCTGTGCCAAAGGATAAATGGACACAAATCAAGACATCAAGAAAGGTAACATACGTAAACCAGTAGAACACTTTAGCCTCCCTGGATACTCAGTAATGGATTTAAAAGTAGGCTTCCTTTTATGAAACAACAACAATAACAAACAAAACAAAACAAACAAAACTTCAAAACCACACTAGAGAAACAGAAGAGTTGAAATTCGTTTGCAAATTCAACACAATCAGATTAGGACTGAATAAGGATTTCAAGTGGTTTCTCAGTACAAAGGCAATTTTCCCTCTCTTGGTATTCACACCTCTCCTTCAGCTGGGAGTGAGCCACATCCACCCTGACTGAATTGGCCTCCTTTACCCTGGTCCCTCCTTTTGATATACTAGTATATAAAGACTGCTTGTTGTTTTTGCAGGGACCGACTAATACAACTACTCATCTGAGACTCAGATACAGAGTTTGTCAAGTTTGAAACTGGACCCACACTGCCAGACATAACTGAGCTGAGACCCTGCATTTTACACATGAGTTATCCTAAGTGCAATGATTTCAGGATTGCAGGATCACAGGATTAGTTTGCAGTTCAGTTGGAAATTATCTTGTCTCAGTCGGATCATTTTGGAATCAAAAGTTACAGCTGTGGCACAAATGAGGCAAGACCGTTTGACTAATAAATGAGGAGAAAAGACACCAGAAAACATTTAAAAATGAAACAAAAAGTGGAGCGGGAAAAAAAAACACCTTCCAAATCATACCATCCAGCAGCATTGCATTTCCTGTGTGCTGTAAATAAGCTGTTAATGACAAAGTGATTAATACTCCAGAGGGCAGAGTTTCAGAAAAGACAAGGATGTTAACAGGTGATAACCCTCTACAGTTAAGAAGCACTGGAGTCTAGCAGAGAATCATCCATGAGTACAGAAACAAAGGGCTTCAGTCTACTGACTGGAAACTCCACCACACCAGCTGGGAGGAATTAAGGAAATAGCCCCAAGCCTCTTGGGACACTCTGGCTAGATCTACACTACAGAGTTTTTGTGCAAAAATGGCCTATTTTGCGCAAAAACTCGTAGAGCATTCACACTTCAAGCGCATTTTTGTGCAAGTGAAAAGAAAGAACAGAGGGTTTTTTCCTGTGTAGGTATTCCTCCTTCTACAAGGAATAACTCCGCTTTGCGCAAGAGCTCTTGCTCAAAAAGGTGTGTATGGATGGGGAACAGAGATTTTTGCACAAAAAGAGGCAATCGAAAAAAGCACAGGTGCCCTGGTGGCCATTTTGTAAATAGCAATCAGAGTTTCCTTTCGAGAGAACGTCCATGCAGTCTGGACGCTCTCTTGCTCAAAAATGCATCGCTTTTTCGATGCACTTGTACAGTGTGGACGCACTCTTGCGCAAGAAACCTGTAGTGTAGACATAGTCTCTGAGACACAAATGCAGCTTGTAAAGCAGATAGAACTGGAAGAGAAAGGAAGATGGTGGGACAACTTACAGCGATGAGCTGGTAGGAGTTGTTCATCATGGCTATGAGCATGTTCAGCAGCACGACCAGGGAGATGACATTGTACGTTCCGAACATGGTGGCCCCAACAAACTCCGTGAACTCATGCCTGGCCTTCACGTTGGTGACATATAGATTCAACAAGCCGAACACAGACCAGAAGAGTGACTGGAGGGTCTCAAAAAGTCTGCAAAAGACAAACTGTGCTTTACTACTTGCATCTAGAGGCACAAGAAAAACACATAGGGCTCTCTGAGCCGTGTCTGTAAGGAGGGTAAGCACAACGGGGCACTGTGTAGGGCTTTCTGCCCCATAGCTACAGTGAGGGTGGGGACTATAGGGTCGTGGCCAGGAGGAAGACGGACACTGTGGTTCACTGCACTATAGGGGTCAATGCACCTTTGCAAGAGGGAGGATGTCAAGGTGCACTGCCCCACTGGAGCCATTTAGCCTGCAGAGCACCCAGAGAGGCTGCCCCCTGCATTCAAGCTGAGAGGAGTGTGTGAGGAGCAGAACCTATGCCTGCCTTTCTGGAAGGTCAGTTTGTGTTTCCCCCTTACAGACTACAGTCCATCAGCCAGTGTAGGAGGCGGCTGCACCCTGGCCACAGAATTCTCTGCCCCCTTCGGCATTTCAGTGGCATTGTGGCTGCTGTCCCTGTGCTCCGGGCTTCCAATGACCATAAATGGCCCCTGACAGATACACCAGGAGATTCCTCCACACGCCCAGAGGGGCAGACACGATCTGGCCCCTCATGTTCAAAATGTGCATGCCACAGTATTGAGAGTCTCTTCATTTCCACAGGTGAATGCCCTATCCCCTAAGCCAATCCAGAACCCACCCCACTTCCTTACCTTCAGGGCATCCCTTAGCCTACTTTCCTAATGTGGAAGCCAGCTCCTTCCCTGGGGCAGCCGTTGTTGGCTGTCTGGCCACTCCACCACAAAGAGCTCTACAAATGACACGCACAGGCCATGCTCCAGTCACCCCTGAAGTGCAGCGTGGACACTTGTGACAGCACATGGCTGTACTGCATCACAGGAGAGGAGGTGAAGAAATCACATCCAGTTGAGCCTTCAGGGGTGATACTGGCAGACAGCATGAAATTACTTCTGTTGGATATTCACCAGGACAATGGGGCTCAGACCCGGCATCTCGTGTTAGGAACCCCTGCATTATGTCTCATCTGAACAGCAGAACCTACCACAGGACAGAACCCGCTGAATTAAGCAGGAGCAACTCATTAGTACTGACTCAGAGGAAAGTGTGTCACGTAATTAATGCAGCATGAGCGGGCTCTCCTTTGAAGTTGCCTGACCCCACTTAACTTTAGAGCTGCTGAGATCATTGTGGGTTGCCATGGCTGCAGCCATAGACAAGTGACCTTTTGCAGGCATGTCACATACATTATCCATATTCCAAATAATCACTCCTTTGGGTATTATTGTTTCAGGTTTGAGGGAGCAGATGTTTCTATCTACATTTAAGATTTGTTGGTTTTGGCTTGGGGTTCAGTAGATGGCTTTTTAAAAAAGAAATGTACTGTAAAAACCAACAAAACACGACTTAAAGAATAGAATCTGTTTTGGATGTGCTTGAAATATTAGTAATCTGTTGTGTTGGCTGTTCATGCGCCTGTTAAATCCTTTGGCATTCACACCTCTAACATACATAGAGGAGCTGACATTCTTTAGCTCTTGTATTACAAACTGGGTTCTATAGCTCATGGGCCAAATTATGAATCCTTATTAAACCACCCTTCCCTCTTTGATTTGAACCACCTGACTTCCAAGAGAGGCTTATTAGTTTCATAAGGAAGGGGTAAACATTAAATAAGAGCCTAGGAATTTGGCTTCCTACTTAAATCCGTGAAACTGTACATGAGCGACATAAAGAGCAGATATGACACTGTAAGTCACAGGCACAATCAGTACACACACTTTTAAAAGCATCACCCCTTTTCTCCCAGCTAAACAGCTGATCTCATTTGATTATTATTAACAATAACAATACCTAGCCCTTATATACTGCTTTTCATCATCAGTTCTCAAAGAGCTTTACAAAGTAGGCCAGTACAGATGAGAAAATTAAACTGAATTTTTCAGCAAATAGTTTGCAAAAAAAAAAATATGATTTTTAAGACCTAAATTAACAAATGAGGTATCGAATCATCACAGCGAACCAAAAACCAGCCTAATTGTTCAGCCCAAATAACATTAAACATATAGGCAAAGGAAAAACATGATAGCTATCCGGCAAACCTCGCACACACAAAAGGGAATAACTCTCTAGTTTCATACAGAAGGCAGAAAGGGGACAAGCAGAAGGAAAGTGAAGGGAGTAAGGCAGCAGTCAAAAATGAGCTACTGACATGAAGATGCTTCAAAGGGATTAACCAAGGCCTCTGGGAGATATAGTGGCAGGGAGTTTCATCACTGAGGAGAGAAAAAAAAAACTGCCTTGACTTGCCACTTGAATGTACCTTGCAGAACTGTATCCTCCCTATCCAGCCATAAATCTGAGATAGGAACATAAAATAGAAGGTATTTCTTCAAGGATTTAGGACCAAGGGATGAAATTTTATCCTCAGCCACACTGACATAAATCGGGAGTAATTCATTTAGGGTGAATAGCATATTACTTTGGACTTACACCTTTGTAACTAAGAGTGGAATTTAATCCGAGGCTAAGATGGAATGTTATATTTATACTCACACACGACCCTAAACTGAACCCTAAGACATTAGCAGCCAGTGCAGCTTATGAGGAGCAAATGTAACACAGACATTTTTTCCTAAGGGCTCAATAGTGTTATCTTTACACTCATACAATAACATCTTACTCCACAAGAGTTCCATTGATTTCAGTGGAGCTCCTAGTGGACTAAGAAAGTATTCTGTATGAGCAAGGAATTTACGCCTTAACCCAGAAGCAGCAAGGCCAATGATGGATTCTGCAATTTTCTATAATATTTTGTTATTCTTTCCTCTTTCTTTATCTAATTTAGTCATATGAATCAAAAGTCTGTGTCCATTGTTGGGCATTTTTGATGAGGCTCAGTATGGCCATGTCTCCATTTACCAGAGAATCAACACTTTGCCAATAGATCTTCCAAGGTTTGATTTAGCGGGTCTAGTAAAGACCCACTAAACTGAAGGCTGAGAGCACCCCTGTACTTTTCGCTCTCAAGATTAGTAAGGGAAGTTGACAGGAGTAAGCTCGGCTTAAGGTATATTGACTCCACCAGCTACATTATTTATGTAGCTGGAGTCACATACCTTAAACTGACCTTTCCCCCTGCAGAGTAGACTGGGCCTATATTTTAGGCTGTGTCCAGACTCAGGGGGTTTTTCGGGAAAAGTAGCCTTTTCCCGAAAAAACTTCCCCTGCGTCCAGACTCAAGCCGCGTTCTTTCGAAATTATTTCGAAAGAACGCGGCTTTTCTTTCGATGGCGGTAAACCTCGTTTCACGAGGAAGAACGCCTTCTTTCGAAAGTTCCTCTTTCGAAAGAAGGCGTTCTTCAATGTAAATAGGGCTTCCTCGAAAGAGAGCATCCAGACTCGCTGGGTGCTCTCTTTTGAAAAAGCGGCTTGCTCTTTCGAAAGATCCGCCTGCAGTCTAGACGCGATCTTTCGAAAGCGGCTCTTTCGAAAGATGCTTTCGAAAGAGCCTCTTTCGAAAGAAGCCTGCAGTCTAGACATAGCCTTAGAGGACTCCTCTTTTAAAATACAAATAATTTCTGAAGCTAAGTCTACACTGGAACTTTACAGTGCTGTATCTTTCTGACTCAAGGGTGTGAAACCCCGCTCCCCTTCCTTCCTCCACCCCAAACACAGCAAGTTACAGCACTGTAAAGCACCAGTGTGAACCAAGCTACAGACCTGGGAACTGCACTCCCATCTATTGTTAGCTACTCCCTTCATGGAGATGGTTAACATAGCGCACAGGGAGAGAGATCTCTCATGCTGTGGCCACACTTCCAATTTAAAGAGCTGCTGCAGCTGCGCTTTAACCTTTTAAGTGTAGACAAAGCCTGAAATTTGAACTTTCTGAGAATCTACCATCAGAGAGAGCAAATCCCAACTGCCCTTTAACAGCATCTGAGGAAAAGAGAGTGCCTGCTTCACCCTCCCGTTCACTGTTAACCTCTAGCAAGGTTGCAATTTCTAGTTTGTCTTGGAGAAAATGGCGACCCAGTTAACAGCGTCCCTCTCAAGACAAAGTGACATTGTAGAAAACAAGGAGCCACTGACTCACCCCACCCGCTCTTGGTTGACTGAGCCTCGGTAATAAATATATTCTTTAGACTGCCTGTCTATGCAATAGACACACTCCACTTTCTCAAGCACAGGGAGGCCAAAGCATAAAAAATGTGAATTATTAATGCCTTCACCTCGTTGTTGTCACAAAGGAATATTACTTTTCCTTGAGCTGTGTTTGTGGGGCAGAAAATTTCTCCACCACAGATAGTAAACCCATCCTTGGGGAGTAATAAGAAATAATGTGACGGTAAATAGGTGTCATATTTTAAACAAGTTGAACAAGCATGAACATTGCTCCTGTTTCTCCTTTTAGATTATGAAATTAGGTCTTATTATGCAACTGCCTTGGAACACTTTGAGAAATTGAGGGAACTCATTGGAAGCATTTTGAATGTATCTTACCACGAGGGATGAATTAATTGAAGCTAACCTGAGGTAACATTAGGCTTGATTTCAATTCACGCCAGTGCTGCTCATTCTAAGAGTCCCATAGATATAATTTCCTATTTTGCAGGTTGCCCATTCTTAGCAAGTTGCACACGCTGTGTGTCAGTTTGAAGAGTGAAATGTCAGCTTGCCCGGGGGGTGTTAATAATAACTATTTAAACTTTTAAGGACCTGGTGAATAAACTTCTTAAGCGCCTTTCAGACAAAAAAGCAATGGCAGTGTATTCTGCCCCCTGCCGAGGGAGCTGGTTCCTAATGTTCCACACCCACTGCTACTTTGTTTTAAACAAACGTCTGTCCCCGGATGCCAAGCCCCCTCACATTTCTTTTTATGAGGCAGTCTTGTTGGCATGAGGTCTAAATGCACAGCAGTACAGGAGAATGAGTGGTCTGATTTAAAGGACGCTGTCAAGTTGATTTGTGCATTTTCTGTCAAGTGGTTGTATATCATTTTTTAATTCCCCATTGTGTGTTACACCCTCTCAGAAACTTGAAAATCACTCCCACTCCCCTCCGGGACCTAATGCACTTTTTCTTTAATCAAACATTTCTATTTCTTTCATTGGTCGGATGGCACTGAACTCAGCAAAGTAACTGGCTTGCAATAAAGATAGGCCCAAATAAAAATACCAGATTGAAATACCCACCCTCATTCCATTTTTTGACATTAGGTTTGTCTAGATCTGGTTTTGAATGCAATGCTTTTGGCCGCTCACTCATTAGAAACTTCAGTTTATAGAGCACTGTGTCCTGCCAAAACATTTCCCTCTGTGGATCAGCTTTAGATCAGCTACAGGAATAATATTTGTTAGTTAATTTACTACTGCAAATGAACCCAAAACATTATTGTAGGGGCATTAAAAATATTTACCATAGGATAAAATAAGGAGCTTAATTATTTTTTCATGGGTGTTACTCCAGCTTTATCTTGATGTATATTGAGTCGACCAACCCCACCATGTTTCTGATTTGCAATGGGTGAAGAGCTCTTCTAAGGAGAATAACAACAAGTCTCTGCTTCTTTTAGAGCTGCCACTTTTGGTACCTTTGATCCAGAGGGGCTCTTGACATGTGGCCTCTGGTAGGAGCAGATGTAATTTCACATAAGTAGTTCTGCTCTTTTTGGGGTCTGTCAAAGCCTGGATTTCATAGAATCATAGAAGATTAAGGTAGGAGGAGACCTCAGGAGGTAATTTAGTTCAACTCTCTGCTCAAAGCAGGACCAACCCCAACAAATCATCCCAGCCAGAACTTGGTCAAGCAATAATCACTTCCCTTGATCTGCTGGCAATATTCCTTCTAATGCAACCCAATATGCTTTTAGCCTTTTGGCAACAAGGGCACGCTTTTGACTCATATCCAGGCTCTCATCCACTCTAATTCCTATGTCCTTTTCTGCAGAACTGCTGGCTAGCCAGGAGGTCCCCAGCCTGTAGAAGTGCATGGGATTCTTCCATCCTAAATTCAGGACTCTGCATTTGTCTTTGTTGAATTTATTTTGGCCCAATCCTCCAATTTGTCTAGGTCACTTTGGACCCTATCTCTAACCTCCAGTCTATCTTCCTCTCCCACCCAGCTCACTTTATACCAGTTGCCAACTAGACATTGAGCAGTTGATCACTACCTGTTGAGCCCAACAAGCTAGACAGCTTTCTATCTGCCTTATAGCTCACTCATCCAATCCATACTTCTTTAACTTGCTGGCAAGAACACTGTGTGAGACTTCATCAAAAGCTTTGCTAAAGTTATATCACATCCACTACAGTCCCCATAGCCAGAAAGCCAGTTATTTCATAGAAGGCAGTCAGGCTGGTCAGGAATGACTTGCCCTTGGTGAGTCTATCTTGACAGTTCCTGATCACCTTCCTCTTCTCCAAGTGCTTCAGAATGGACTCCTTGGAAACCTGCTCCATGATTTTTCCAGGGACTGAGGTGAGGCTGTCCAGTCTGTAGTTCCCCAGATTCTCTTTTTTTCCCCCTTGATCACCTTGTGGGCATGTTGCGAAACCCATTTTTAAATCCAGAGCATTTGGGTGAAAGATGAATGGAGAATTTGGAAGCATAACTGAGAGTTTTATTTGATTCAGTATCAAATGGTGAACAATAATCTGTTCTGCTTGTTTGTATTTCATTTATTTTCCATTGCATTTTTCAAGCAGTGTGAAAGCTCCAAGATCAATTGGATTGGTGCTGATTATTATCAATATTACAGCTATTATTCATTAAAATAAATGCCCAAGAAAGACAATTTAAGTTATTCTTCAATTTGCACTTGTTTTTTTTTTTCAGATTCCCTGCAATTTATATAGCAGTTCCTCAGTAAAGAGCCAGCACTTCCTCCAAGATTTCTCAGACACTCTGATCTCCCCTACTTCAGTGTAAATAAAATCACTGAAGTCAATAGTGTTGCTCTGGTGTACCCAGAACAGGCAAGATGAGAATTTTTCCCTAACCGTATCACAAATGCTATCACTTACAGCAGCTATGTTCCTAGGTTTCAAGTCAGCTTCATTCTTTGCACTTGACTGCATTCTGCACTTTTTTAGCCATCATGTATATTATTTTGGATTGCTATTAGTTATCATTTTATTTTAATTTATGCACAGGTTTGTTCCTTCACTTTTATACTTTATTTTTCCTTCTAAGCACACACAAACTATTCCTCCTGTAGATCAACTGAAATTTTTTTAAAGGACATTGAAATTATACACTGGGCAGTACTAAAATATCTTCCAATGTACATGTAGAGAGTCATCCTGCAGTGAATGGTAGATGGACAGAAGATCTGGAGGTAGCAGCTCTTTTCAATTTTAAGTTTCTATAATACTTATCTCCAACTTCCTTGGGTCACAAACATTGTGTGGAGAGATTTTGTGCTCTGGAGCTAGGACCTTGATCTCCCTTTTCAAGACTGAGTGTCGTTCATGACAACTAAAAGGCTGACTTCAGCAAAGTGACTGCCCCACTTAACTCAGACCTTCCTTACATAACCAACCAAGTGGCCTGACAAATGAAGGCATTGACAGCCAATAAGTAGAGACTGTTAAGGTAGAAAGCAATGAAAGTCAGCATTAAAAATAGAAAGGGAATTGAGTCTTACGTGGAGAAGGCATTGTTCTGTTTCTCACATCGGATCCCCTTGCAGTTGTTGGGTTCTTCCGAGGCACTGGTCTCATAATAAAAATAAAGCTGGTTCAGTCCATTGGCAAAAGCCAGAAGCACCAGACAGTAAATAAAAAGGAATTTGAGGATGTCTAGCAGCATGCGTCCCAGAGAGATCTGCAAGGGGCCCAAGTGGGAGTTTGCTGTAAAAAGGGATATGAGACGCAAGGAACTTAAAATGTTGGATATTGCAAAGAGAGCTTCTGCAATGAGTGTCGGGTGCCACATTTCCCATTCTTCCCTTGGACGAGAACCATTATACTGAAAGAAATAACAAGGGTACAAAAATTAATGGTGTAGTAAACACTTTAATGTAGCCCTAAAAGCCACAACTGCTAACAACATTTCATTATGCAGTACACTAACCAGCTTTTGATTACTTGAACAGATGGTGTTCAAATCTGGATCTGTTAGGGTTAGCCTAATGCTAAGGGTTTAGTTTTGAAAAGCTGAAATGGTTAAGGCTCAGGCTTGAATTCAATGGAGTCAACATCTCAAGTTGTTCCTATGAGATTCTGTTCTCAGATGTGACAGTTTTGTGAGGTCACCTCTCTACTAAAGATTACTGGCATGCTGACTGCACCGCAGCTAGATGCAAAAATTAAACCCTTCTGGTTTTGGAATGAAAATTGAATGGCCCTTCAGGATTTTTACAGAATCTCCATCAGCCCTAAAATTCAAAGGAGTTCAAATTCCTCATAATCACATTCAAGATTCTGATTTTGGTCTATTACCAGTTTTGTTTTTTACTTCCATATCGTTAATATGCATTTGAAATGGTGCCTTCATACTCTGTGATAAGCACAATAGAGAAGGAAGGAAGGAAGGAAGGAAGGAAGGAAGGAAGGAAGGAAGGAAGACATAGATGAATAGTGGCATTTGATAACTATGCCTTTCTCCTTCTTATTTCAAATAGAACCAGCCTCCCAGAACTGAAATGCTTTCTTCACATTAATTTTCTTACTGGTTAATTTGCCAAGGTAATTTTAGGAGAGTCATTAAAACAGAGGTCATAATTACAGCTGAAACACTGGATACATCTGAATGCATCAATTACAAAATTATAAAAGCATATGAAGGATTTGGGCCAAGTGTAGCTCTGACGTGAGCGCAGCTCTGTTGACATCAAGGCTACGTCTACACTGGCCCCTTTTCCGGAAGGGGCATGTAAATTTCAGCAGTCGTCGTAGGGAAATCTGCGGGGGATTTAAATATCCCCCGCGGCATTTAAATAAAAATAGGAATAAGAGCCTCCGGAAAAGGGCACTTTTTCCGGAGGATCGGGGCCAGTCTAGACGCTCTTTTCCGGCTTTTTTAAAAGCCGGAAAAAAGCGGCGGACATTTTTATTTAAATGCCGCGGGGGATATTTAAATCCCCCGCGGATTTCCCTACGACAACTGCTGAAATTTACATGCCCCTTCCGGAAAAGGGGCCAGTGTAGACGTAGCCCAAAAGAATTAAAGAGGCTGATAACACCAGTGTAACTCCATTGGGCTGATCTACAATGGTGTAACAGAGATCTGAATTAGACCTTTTAACATCAGGGCTGAACTTGGCCTCTTAGTTCTGTTCTGTTTATTTACCTTGTACTGCACAGAAAGGCAAAAAAATTTTCCTTGAACGGTGAATACAAGTGTTTTATAGCAACTAATAGATTTTGTAAACTTTAATATAAACACCGCACTTTGACTCCGAGAGAGGTGTCTTTGTAAGGCTCTTCAGTTTAAATCTGAAGGTCCGATGCATAAAAATCACAACTTTCCAAGGAGATAAGTAGAAGCAGCCATCAACTCAGGAGTGCAGGAACATTTTAAGAAGTAGGGGTGCCGAGCACCCTTGCCCCAGTCCACCCGCATCCCCAGATCAGGCCGAGAGCAAAACCCCAGCATGCAGGGACAGCAGCAGAGTCCCCTGGGCGCTGGATTCTCAGCTGCTATCCTGTGTGCTGGGGGTTCTAACATGGGTACTGCCATTTGAGGCTGGCAGCAGAGTCCCCAGCATGTGGGGAGGCAGCCAAGAACTCAGCACGCAGAGCCAGCAGCTGAAAACCCAGTGCACTGGGCAGCAGCAGGGACCCTAGGTGCTGGGCTGGGAGCCCAGGGTTGCTGCAGCATCCCTGCACCCTTAATTCCTGTGCCTATGCATGGGCTTCACAATGGAGAACTGAAGCACTGCAGCACCAACACATCACCTCATCTCTCCACCTTGTGCCATCTGCATGCCCAAATGAGCAGCCAGGCTACTAAGCATTACACATGAAGAGTTGGGCACCTAAAACAGGGATACACAGAGTGGGGCTGTCTAACTCATCTGCAGGAAATGCTGAGGAGTGGGGTGGGACCGAAGCCCTGCTCCTCTAAGGAAATTAGACACCTTGGAATTCACAGCCAAGCTATGAACCCTCTCCTGGTTAGGCACTATAAACCCTTTGAGGAATAACGGGTGGCACTGGTTCTCTTACACACCTCTTTAGCCCAGTAGTTAACACACAAAGTAGGAGATCTAGATTCAAATCCCCACTCTGTTGGATTCAGAACCGTGAACTGAACACAGTCGCCCACATGTGCACCTTAACAACTGGTGGTTACAGTCATTTTCTTGCTGGTCTAAGTGTTTCATGCAAAGTGGGAAAGAATCAGAGAGAGAGCCCATAGCCCAGTGAATCATCTGGGAGGTCTGGCTTCCTGTCCCAGGTCTGAATCAAGCACACTAGGGATTTGAACCCAAATCTCCCATATCCTGCACAAGGATTTTTAATCACTGGGCTGGTGGTATCAGGAAAGGCAGGCAGGGAAATGCCTAGTTTGTGAATCCTGCCAAGACCTAAGCATGAGTTAGACACTGAGTAGTTCAGTGGTCAGGACTTAAGGCAGTTTTTCACATGCCCACAGGCACCAAGTTAGGCCCCTTGGGGACTTTAGATGCTTATAGGGGTAGGTGGCATCTGAGCGATGGTTTTGTCAGTGCCAGTGTCCTGCTTGAGAATCTAGCTAAGATACACTACAGCTGCATTGCTACATGACCTCTGATTGCTTCTGACATTTCCAAACTGTTCTCTGCTTCCATGAACATCAGGGACTCACTTTGTTAACTGGATTTGAAGCAGGCCCTTAAATGGTCACAAACAGTGCAGATGTTATCTCTTTGCTAGTACCTCAGCCATGTAGCTATAGCTATAGATATTCATTTGAGAGAGAGAGAGAGAGAGAGAGAGAGGACAACATGAGAGAGCATCAAATACTTGGGAAGCAGATATGCATGGAAGTTTCAAAATTCTCCTTTGCATGCTGGTTAGAAACATCCCAGCAGCACATGGCTCTCTGCCAGGATTTAGAGTCAACTGCTATTAAAAAAAAATTGATGAGGCCTTTTTTATCTGACAGATCTTCACTTTACAAATGGCAATTTTTCAGGGCCATACTGCAGTGACACTCCATCCATCATCGGAACCCCTCATTTGGCAGGCCGTGTTCAGTTCTGGTTGGCCCATCCCAGCACAGCGCAGAGCAGACATGCAAGGGGGGCGTAGAGATGCATAATGAAAATGATTAGACACATGGAACAACTGAAATGGTTGGGACTGTTTAGACACTAGAGAAAGAGGAAGATATTGAGAAAGATAGACTGGGCTTGCCCATGTACCTTTTCTCAAAATACAAGTACCAAGGGATACTTGATATCAAAAGGCAGTTAATTTAAAGTTGATATAAGGAAATACTTTTTACCCTGCACTTAATTAATCCAAGGTTTCTTGCAGCTCCCTCTGCAGGTTTAGATGGACTAGGGGCATGATCTGGCATGTCTACTAGCATGTTCCTATATTGATTAATGTGCCCGTGAAGCTATTTTGAAGAGGCGGGTGAAGGAAGAGAAGCTGAGAGGGGAGCTGTGCTGGCAGAGGACACCTGAGGAATGGAAGCCAACTGCTGGGTATTTCGCGGCTTCAGCTGTGTTCAGCAGCCTGGGGAGCAGTGCTGCATCTGTGTGTAGGAGACCGCAAAGGTGTAGAGAAGTAGGTCTGAAGGGGCTGCTGCAGCACCAGGCTGTGAAAAGTCGAGGGTGCTGTCCAGGGAGATTGCTGCAGTCCTTCAATCTGGGAAAGGCCAAAGATTTAGGAATATCGTGAGAAGCTGAGACATGCAGGGAGTGAGCCTCCCCGCCCATGTAGACAGACTCACACGAGTGGGGTGTAGGCTGCCCTGCTACAGTAGCAATAGGGACGTTCCACTGTGGACAGCTCTGAGTTCCCAGAGCCACAGTGCCAGACCAAAGCTGCAACAGCCACACTATTATTTTTAGCAAGGTAGCTTGAGCCACACTATTATTTTTAGCTAGAATTAATCTGTTTAGGGCAGGGGGCTTGCTCCCAGCTGCAGTGTAAACATGCCCATGGGTCTTCAGGGCCTGCTGCATTTCGGTGGGATTAGCCACCCTTTTAGTTTTATGACTGCATGAAGGTGTGTCTCTGGGGGTTTGTCCATGTGAATTCCTCCTTCCCAAAGAGAATGTGGGTAGCTGAAGGTTTGCATCTATGCACGGGCTGGGTGGTGGGCGCTGCCTTTCCATGGGTAGTTGTGTGGTTTGTTTGCTCCTGCTGTTTTAAGTGTTCCTGGTGGGCCCGAGGGTAAGAGGCAGTGTGTCTGAGAGAAAGGGAGAATTGCTGATTTGTTCACGTGACTTATGATTCCCAGCAATTTTATTTTTATTGCTCATAATTCAAAGACCAAACATTCAAGTATTTAATTTTCTCCTCCTGCTGTAAATGTCTGGAGAAAAAGATGCAATCTGGCTTTTCTTCCATACTGCTGCAGAACACCCTGTTCAGGGTGTAGCAGCTATGTTGGCAACCTCTTTGCAAAGTGCTAATTCAGCAGCAAGCAGCCTTTCTGCACTGTAAAATGGCCCCCCTTCTGGGTCTGTTTACCTGATGAGTGAATACGACAGCCTGCCTGTTTCACCCAGCTGGTGAAATATTTAGTGTCCTCATCTCTCTCCTATCTCCGTGCATCACGGCTGGCTGGAAATGAACAGAGAGCCTCGGAACAGTGAACTTCCTGAACAAGGCTCTGAGTTCAAGCTGCTGTACCGAAAGAGGTAAAATCTTCCCTGTATGTACACAGCAGAACCAATGTTGTGGATCAGCAAAAATGGAAAGCCCTATTTGCTCTGGGACCAGTCCCATCTACAGTGCAGGGGAGGAGGTCAGATGATGGAGGTCCCCACAGAGGGAACATTGCATTCCTTATATACTCAGGACCTGTACTCTGTGGAGAGTCTCTTCTAAACCTAGATGGTGGGGAGAGATCTGGGAAGGGGACTAATGAGCATGCAGCCATGTAGATCTACTGCCCTAAACCCCCTGCATGAAGAAATATTCAGATTCAGACCATGTCTGAAGCTGGAGGAAGGTAGGTCTGGAATTGCAATTTCAATTTCATGGCCTCTAGAAACAGGGGAGTTGATGGGGAAGGATTCTCCCAGTCTGAGAATAAGGTTACTTCGTGTTTGACTGATACCACTGTAACACCATTGGCTTCATTCGAGTTACTCCTGATTCACACCAGCATGAGAGGAGAGTCAGGCCCACAACCTCTGTGGACAGCAGAATGATTAGAGAAAATTCTGTGAACCCGATTCTGCACGCACAGAACTCCGAGTCAAGTTAATGATCAGGGCCATCTTTCCCATAATGCCCAGCTGCGTAGGGTGCCTGAAAATTTGGGACACCACTGGGTCTTAATGTCCACCCACCTGACTCTTCATGTCCCTTTTCTGTGGTGCTGATTCCTCCAGAAAGGATTTAGTTAACGTAAAAGTGAAAAAGCCTGCCAGAGCTATTAACAGAGCATCAAACCTGTTGAAGAGCCAACATGGGTAATGAAGCCATTTAACAGGCATTTGCCAACCTCCACGTATATGCTGCCAGTTTCTGATTTTACTGTGTTAGTCTACAGCAGGGGTCTCCAACCTTTTTATGCACAAGATCACTTTTTGAATTTAAGTGCAATGTAAGATCTACCTCAAACCCAAATACCTTGACCCTGCCTCTTTGTGCCCCTTCTCTGAGGTCCCACCCTTGCTCACTCCATAATCCCTGCCTTACCCATCCTTCCTCACTTTCACCAGGCAGGGACAGAAGGTTGGGGTCTTGGATTAAGGGATTTGGAGTATGAGAAGGGCTCACCTGAGCTTGGGGCAGGCTATTGGGATGCCAGAGGGGGTTCTAGGTGCAAGCTCTGGGAAGGTATTTGGATGCAGGAGTGCTCGGGGTTAGGGCAGGAGCTTGGAGTGCAGGTGGGGTAGTTTTTTTGGGATGTGGGCTCTAGCTGGGCCCTGCTAACCTTAGGTGGCTCCTGGGTGGTGGTGCAGTGGGGCTAAGGCAGGCTCACCCCTGCACCACTCCCAAAAGCAGCCAGCAAACTCCCTCCATTTCAAGCCCTGTTGTGCTCCTTTTTCTGCTATGTGGAGATAGGATACAGAGGGGGAGGGGGCACCTTGGCATCAGCACCTTCCTCTCCCTCCCCTGCCCTGCACAGTGAGCAGGAGGCTCCTGAGGGGACAGCTCTAAATCAAAGGGCAGGAGATGAGTAGATGAAGTGTGGGCACTTGATAGCCTCTTGGCCAAACCAGTCAGGATCACCTGTCGGAGGCTCCAAGATCGACCAGTAGATCCTGATCTACTGGTTGGTGACCACTGGTCTACAGGACCTTAGTTTAAAATTTGCTTTAAAAAATATTAATGAGGGCATTGCTGAAGATTATAAAAATGAATATAAAATCACATCTCTAAACAAATGCTGCCCTTGGCCACCATTGGGCATAGAGGCATTAGTTTAATAGTGCAATGTAGGGCAAAACCCTAAGGACAGCCCTGTCAATGGGAGATGCTGTGTTAGGGATTGCAGGGACTGAGAGAGACAGCGAGAGAGAGAGAGAGTGTATGAGAAAGAGAGAGCTCCTACTTGAGTTGTGTGTGTGTGTGTGAGAGAGAGAGAGAGCTCCTACTTAAGTCAATGGGAGTTGCTGTGTTGAGATATTGCAGGGACTGAGGTATGTGTGTGTGTGTGAGAGAGAGAGAGAGAGACAGAGACAGAGACAAAGAGAGTGCTTCTGGCAATCCGCAGGCTTCAAAGCTTGTGCATAAATTAATGTAGAGCATCAGATACTTATGAAGCTGAAAGGTGCTTTTGAGGATAACGGGTATATGCAACAGCTCAGTTAGTGGAGCATGAGAGTAGGGAATCTGTGGCATAGTTGTAAATTTTTAACAGGGTATTTTATCATTTTCCCCATTTATATTATAAAACTCTCATTGGTTTTTGATCTCCCTATTCTGGATTCATTGTTACATTCAGAAGCTGAGGTACGTTCTTTACCTACTGCTGCAAGATGGACAGTGGCTATATGAAGTCCCCCCCCCACACACACACAACACCCAGCCTTAACCTGCCTCAGGTAGCACAACCTGTAAGAGGCGAAAAGCATGCTCATTCCCCAAGCCAATTCAGTCATTGGCTTTCCTACTGAGTTTGAAAACATGGATGCCTACTAGCACCACTCGTGCTTTGGGCACCTGTTCTCTTTGAGCTGGATTTTAGTGTTCACAGATATTTTCATGTCGACTCTAGTTTTCACACACATGCTCCAACTTATTGTACCTTGACATAAGCAACAATTTTCAGGGAGATGGTTGCAAGGTAGAGTGAGTTCATTGCAAAGTCCATCAGATTCCACCAGTCGTGTACATACTCATTGAATCCACCATCCCACATTTCCTTGATTTCTCCCCAGATAAAACCTGTGGAAAGAAAGAGAGTTTATCTGCATGCGGGAACATTACTGGCCATTAAAGCAGAGCAAATCCAATGTAATAAAAAGCAATTATAAATTAACTGCTTTGGGGGAAAATGCCTCACCCTTTTCCTTCCTGACAAAATGTAATAAAGCTGCTTTCAGAGCATTTTACAACAAAATGGTAAATGTAATCAGATGACAAATGGGGCAGACTTAAGCTGTCCCGCCCAGTGCTTCACATACAATGCACAAAGAGATGCTGCATGGAACACAAATTAATTTTATCTATTTTAGGCCAAAGCTCCCCTTTAGAAAGTGCAAGTGACCTGGCCCAGGGGAAATTTTTATTGATTTAAATAAATAAATAGTTTGAGTGAATTCATTTGTCTTAGTTATTAATAGAGGACTCACCTCTATAGTATCTAAGTCCACTTCCTGAGCCAGAGATCAATCTTCTGGTGTTCAATTTGGGTCTAGTAAGGACCTGCTAAATCAAATGCTGAGGGTGCCCCCGGTCAGTGCTGATACTCTTACTTCTTGCAAGGAGTAAGGATAACAGATGGGAGCTTTTGTTCCCATCAACATCCCTCTGAGGAGACAGCACCAAGCTCAGCTTGAGGTGTGTCGGATCCAGCTATGTTATTTATGTATCTGGAGTTGCAAACCTTAAGCTGACCTTCTGGGTCTAGTATACACCTAGCCTCAGGGTAATTCAGTGCTCATTACTGATGCTGATTTGGCAGCCTTGAAAGCAGATTTCCCTATCCCTTTCTATAAGACAGGTGACAGTAACAAAATTTCCCTCCATTAATTTGCCTCAGCCCTGAGATGGAAGAATCACATTTATTCTCCAGGCACATTAGTTAAATATCACCTTATTTCAGGAATAGTGTTGCTGACTTTCATAGAATTACTTGTGAGCAAGTTACTTCTCAGCACGAGTAAGGATATCAGAATCAGGCATTGGGTTTACAGTCTCTTTGCTGACACTACCTGCTACAGTTCCACTTAGCACCATTTGTGGTGGTGTTTTTTGGGATGTGGCCATTTGTTCACTAGCGACAGGACTAAGGCGATCAACTTTTTTCACAAATACCAGCCCCAAGCATGCAGCAGGAAATTATTCTCACTTGTTACTAACCGAGGCTAAGGCTTAGGCTGCACACTGCCTGCCTTCCCCATGCTCTGGGGCTGGAGGAGGGGCGGAGACCTGCTCCTGTTGTGGGGGGTGAGGCGGAGCTGGAGCTCTGCACTGGTGAATGGGCCTTGGCTCTTGAAGGGGCGGGGCCTCGGGTGGAGGAGGCGGGGCTGGGGTTTGCCTCCCCCAGCCCTAGATTCGCCCACTGCCCATGCCAATGGGTATGTCTACACTGCAACAGAATGGTATGATTATAACATATATGGTCTCACCCTAATTAACTTAACCCTGCCTAGCGCAGGTCACAATAGTAGTGAAGGTGCAGCAGAACAGGTTTTAGCACACACACAAGTCTACCCTGGACTTTGGGTACACACTTGAGTAGCTAGTCTGAGCTGAAGTCTGTGCTGCTGGCACCTGTGTTTGCTGGATTACAGCTAGCTTGGATAGGTTCATGTAATGCCTACAGACAGAACCAAACCTGGGACCTCTGGAGCTGAGTGCATGAGCCTCTACTGCTTGAGGCAAAAACCAGCTGCCTCTTAGTTAAGGCTGTAGGGCACACTCATTCTGTCTCTCTGTAAGTGGTCTAAGTGCCACTACATGGCACAGTGAACCACACCCAGGAAGTGTGTGGATTACATTTGCACATGCTATAATCATGAAACATCCTGACTGCAGTGTGTTTATACCCTGAGTGCCCCTGAAAGTCAATGAGACATAGGTTCTTAAATGACTTCAAAATGGGACTTTTGTTCCTAGGTCCCTTAAGCACTTATGAAAATTTTATCCCCGTCCCATATATTTTGTATTGTTGAGTTCTCAGCATTAGACATGACTCAAGATGCAAGAATTAAATTAGAAACAAAAAAAACCCACCAAGAGAGTGGCTAACAGACATCCCACAACAGAGTTATCATGTGATCCTTCAAATTGAGATATCAGTTGAGTCTGTGTTTAGGGCATGAAAGTTTCAATATGAAGATCAAAGAATATAGAAATTAACTGTTGCAGACTTAAAGATATCAATCACATTTCCTCGGGCTAATGTCTGATACGTCGTGGGTCAAGTCAGCAGCATGCTGTGGCCAATAAGATTATTTTATTACAGCTGTCTTAAAATCTTTGCATACACAACATAATAGAAAATGAAATGAAATGAAATAAAATAAAGTAATAAATGAGGCCATTTCTGTAGAAGAACCACTATATTGTATTTATTGTGAGTAATCATAGTTAGCATTGTTACTATAGCTACTGTAATGCTGTCTGCTCTGTACGTGCCTGTTCCTTTTCTCTCTTTCTTTTACAGTGCAGATATTTAATAAATAAAAAGGATGCTAAAATAGTAAATTCTTCCCTACAGACACAACTGCATCTTATTTGAAGGTCTGTTTTTCCTCCATAGAATTTCATATTATTTAAATATGAAATTGGGGGTAGGGTAAGAAAAAGGGGTGGATTCACTGTTTACTTCAAGGTTTATTTTGACATGTATATTGCAATTGCACAAATCCATTTGCTAATTCCAATTGTTTGTAGACAACAGAGAATCAGACTCAGGCAGCATGAGAGCTATGAGAGTACCCCGTGTGAGGTAGTAAAAGCTGTCCTATGTCTTTGATTGAGTTGGTCAGAATGGGGGAAAAAGTTGGTTAACATTTTTTGCAACATTTACCCATTCTTTCAAAAATTGTCCTAACTAGCAGTAAGCCGGGTAAAACATAAGCTATATTTTTGGTTTTATTTGGGAAAAGAATGTGGCAATTTTGTTCAAATTTTGAAATGTTTGCAATTATCCGATCAGTTCTAGACTAAAAACAAAACTGCTGTTGGAGCGAGTAAGCCTGAAGATGGGCTTTTGAAGAGATATTTGTTATTCACACTTGCCTTCTATTACTGCAACCTGACTAAGGGTATGGCTACACTACAGGGACAGGTCAATCTAAGCTACACAATTTGAGTTACTTTAGTAGTTTAACTCAAGTCAGCATAGTTTAGATATATTTACCACAGGGTCCACACCACGTAGTGTTGACAGAAATTCTTCCTTCAACTCCCCTTACTCACTCCGTTCTGATGGAGTACTAGAGTCGATGGGAGAATGATTAGCGGTCGATTTAGTGGGTCTTCAAGACCCTATAAATTGACTCCTGGTGGATCAATTGTTTAGTAGTTTAACTCAAGTCAGCATAGTTTAGATATATTTACCACAGGGTCCACACCACGTAGTGTTGACAGAAATTCTTCCTTCAACTCCCCTTACTCACTCCGTTCTGATGGAGTACTAGAGTCGATGGGAGAATGATTAGCGGTCGATTTAGTGGGTCTTCAAGACCCTATAAATTGACTCCTGGTGGATCAATTGCCGTAAT